CAGCAGACGCAGCAGCAGAAGCAGCAGCATAATCAGCAGAAGCAGCAACAGAAGCAGCAGCAGCAGAAGCAGAATCGGCAGCAGCAGAAGCAGAAGAAGCAGCAACAGAGGCAGCATCAGACGCAACAGCAGCAGAATCGGCAGAAGCAACGGTAACAGAAGCAGCATCAGACGCAACAGCAACAACAAAATCGGCAGCGGAAGCAGCAGTAGAAGCAGAGGAAGCAGCAGTTGCAGAAAAGGAAAAAGCAGCAGTAGCAGCAGAAGCAGCACTATAAGCAGAGGAAGCAATAGAAGCAAAAGCAGCAGCAGCAGACAAAGGCGGATGCAGCAGAAGCAGAAACAGCAGCAGCAGCAGCAGGGCCCTCTCGAGACAGCAGGCTGGGGCGCGCCACTCCGCCACAGCCGCTGTCATCTAAGCGCTCTCGCGGTCCCAATCTCGACCCCCTGGGCGCTGCAGCCGGCCCCTTGCCAACCAAACACTTCCCGCCGGCAGCCCCTGGAAATGTCAACATTGGCGAATTAGTAATGCGCCGCGAGTGGGGCCGTGTGTCCGTTGATGTTTGTCAGACTGTTCATACCGTGCCGACGATTTGAGATGTCGCCGTGGTCAACGCTGTTTGCGGGCAGCGGATTTGCTTTGTAAACACTTCTTCAGTCAGGTGGTAGAGCTGTTGAGCAGTCGATATTTGACCTCCAAGGTCAGCTCTGAGAGTGAGCCATCTACCAACCTACATACCCAACTGCATATATACCAATTAATCCTACCTACCCAATCACCAATATCTACCTATATACCTATAACGCCTTACCTTTACCTAGCAAACTATATTTCTGCCCATCACACTTACCTACCCAATGATCTATACAAATCGCTATCTAACTATATATATATTAAAAGCAAAGTTGTGAATATGTGTGTCTGTTCCAAATGTTTAGCATACTTCGCGACATGCAACAAACTTGAAATTTGGCATGTGGGTAGTTTCCAGACTGTACACAATGCAAAAAGGAAAAAACATAGACTTTTGTATTTGGGGGGGGGGGGGGGGCGCAATAATGGATATATTTTGCACGGCAAGTGAGCGGTGACGTCACATCTCAGATGTCACCCCCATGCGGCAGCGTCACGCAGTGTGCCTGCTGACGTGACGACGTCACGACCCCACCCTCGGCGTAGGCCGTGTATTAATCCAAGACAAGAATCCAAGTCTCGGGCGAAGCCGGGTAGTCAAGCTAGTATATTTATATAACTACCGACTACCCAGCTACCTGCCCAACTCACCTCGCTGCCACATTTCTGGCCGTGCGTGCGTTTGTGTCACCAGATTTGTAGAACTTTATTTGCACTGGGCACGAGTTTGGGAAATGCGTTTTACTTCCCGAAGCGTCGTATAATTCAGAGAATGCGGAATTCACCCGCAACCCCCACCCCAACCCACCCCACTCCCAAATTGGTGGAAGAGTTCCACGGCACTATAAATACATTTAATTTATGCAACTACACTGCATTAATGCTGCGCCTGCTGTTCGTGCGCTGCTGCGTATTTAAATGTGTCATCGTCAGCATAATCATCATCACCAGCGTGCGTGTCACCTTGCTGGAGAGGAGAAACACGTGGACTCAGAAATAACAGATTTTTTTAAAAATCCAAAATGTTTTTAAGCCACATGCCGAGGGGCGTCACTTATCCACGTGTTCGGCATTTCCGGACGCCCACAGTGGCTGGGCCACATACTTGACAATCACTCGAGTCACGTTTATTTCACGCCAGCTCTGTACCTGTTTTTTCTTCTTCTTTTTCTTCTTCTTCTTCTTAAGACCCAATCACCGTGATTGCGGCGGCTGATCTGACAAGAGCTCAGAAGCTCAGCAGGATTTTGTTTTAAGCCTGCGTGTAATTAGCGCTTGGGCGCGATGAGACTGCCCGGGACAAAACCAGGTGTTGGAACCTCGGGCGATCAGCTGGCCAGGTGATGTCTGGACGCCACCCCCCCCTCCCCCGATACTCCACAGCGCTGCCTGGAAACCGGATTGGGGGTGGAATCCCACCCCCCCTCCCCCCCTGGCCAACTGGGAGACACCACGCGGCCTTTCCGCCTTCGTGAGTGGCCTCTTCCCATTAATCGTCTTCTGCACGGTCGGGTCTGTCAGCTCGCATATCTCTCGTCGGATTGTTGACCCGGGGGGAGGGAACGCTCGGGTTAGCCGAATAGAGACGAGGAGAGAGAAAACGATAATCTGTGGTTTTCTGCGGGGGTGTTTTTTTTTTTTAAACAAACATCACTCTGAGAGAGAAATGCCGAACCCGGGCCGTGTGTGCTCAGTGCCCGGTTATGGAGGAAGTGAATGGGGAGCCGAGGTCTCTGATTGCTCTCCAATGGAGGCACTGAGTTTTAGAGTGGGCCGCCGTTAAGAGCAGTGATTGATTTATGGACTCTTAACGGGCGCTATTAGGACTTGTGGTGGGGGGAGGGGTGGAGGCGTTGGGGGGAGAGGGGATGGGGTATTGGGTAGCTCACTGCACGATAAATCCAGTTCGCTCGATTACCGGCTACGGCTAACGTCAGTGGTAAATGATATCTGATTAAAGGGTTCTGGGCACCTTCGATCTTCACCAACCAGTGTGGTGTTGTATGGTCATATAACCCCTCCCCCCTCCGTAACTGATACGACGTGGGGAGGCCTTGATCCAGCAGTGGATTGACAAAACGAGCTGAACAGTATCATGGTGTTTATTTTTTTACCAGGATGGAAATAGGGGCAATGTGATCGTGTTTGAAAGCAGGGCTAAAAATACTCCGGGCAAATTGTGTTAATTTGCAAGCAACACATCATCTTTAGACTTGCTGTGACAAGCACAATATCTATTCCCAAAGTGAACACTAAATTTAGTCGAATCCTATTTCACATTTCATGCGCCTGCTACGTTGAACAATATCGCGTCTGCTTTTGTTCTGCAAAACTCTTCTACGTCAGCTCAAGCCTTCCCGCGAATCGCGTGATTTCTGTGAAGTGGCCACCTCCACTCGCTCCGCCCCCTATGAGAACAGACGCCGCTCTGTGCAGAAGCAGCATCGTCAAGGTCCTCAGGCAGCCTCTCCCTCCTCCTTCTCGTCTCCCCTGGCCCTGTCCTCCCATTCATCCACTCATTCCCCATCCTCTTCCTCTCGTTCCCAATTCTTTCTCTTGCTCGTCTTCTCTCTCTCTCTGCTATTGGCGTCACGTCGCCAGACGAAGCGTCCACTTGGAGCTCTCACAGAGCGAGAATTGCACCACTCTGTGTGATAGAGAACGGCTCGCGAAAGCCGATATCACAGAAATACTTTTGAGTGTCCCTCTATAAGTGGTAACCTTCATCACACTCGGGCGTGTTTCATCTCCCGACCCACCCTGCTCCAGACGAAAGATCAACGCGTGATTGCCCAACCGATATTTTACATTTGTAGAGCTTGAACTTTACGAAATTAAGTCGAAAATCAAGTTAACGGAATGTCCCCTCGTGCATTCATTAGCAGGAGAAGTAACGAATCTTCCAAAATATAATTGTTTAATAGCCGGGTGTGAATCTGACATCGAGGCAGAGTTGATGGATCACACAGATTTGGCGCTCAAGGAGACACTAACCTTGCATGACAGTGTGGTGTTGCCCATACGAGGGAGTGCAGCAAGTAGGTTAGGTCAGGCTGGCTTTCTGTGCAGCACAGTGTGTTTTATCCTTTCATGCATGGGTATGCTTCGTGTACCCAGGTTTCCCTCTGAAAGGTGCTGTAGTAAGCAGACTTGAAAATTAATATTGAGATTCAGTGAGGTTTTCTTGAGCGAATAAATACAAATGATTGAAACCAAACAATTTAAGTATCTGTGCTGGGTGAGAAGTGATGATATTAATATTTGTTCGTATCATTTGTCACACACACAAGGAGCTGTCCATGGTACTGAACACAGGGGGCTGTCCGTGGTACTTATCCCAAGTGAAATACACACGGAGCTGTCCGCGGTATTGACCACAGGGGGCTGTCGGTGGTACTTATGCCAAGTGAAATACACACGGAGCTGTCCGTGGTACTGAACACAAGGGGCTGTCTGTGGTATTTATCCCAAGTGAAATACACACGGCGCTGTCCATAGTATTGAACACAAGGGGCTGTCTGTGGTACTTATCCCAAGTGAAATACACACGGAGCTGTCCATTGTATTGAACATAAGGGGCTGTCTGTGGGACTTATCCTAAGTGAAATACACACGGAGCTGTCAATGGTACTGAACACAAGGGGCTGTCAGTGGTACTTATCCCAAGTGAAATACACACGGAGCTGTCCGTAGTACTTAACACAGGGGGCTGTCCGTGGTACTTATCCCAAGTGAAATACACATGGAGTATCCGTAGTACTTAACACAGGGGGGCTGTCCCTGGGACTTCTCCCAATTGAAATACACACGGAGTATCCGTAGTACTCAACACAGGGGGCTGTCCGTGGTACTTATCCCAAGTGAAATACACACGGAGCTGTCCGCGGTACTGAACACAACGGACTATCCATGGTATTTACCTCAAGTGAGACACACGAGGTACTAAAAGCATGAGCAAAAGATTGAGAAAATTACAGGTGGTGCACCTTCACCTATCCTCTTCCTCAAACAAGAGACGGACAGTGATCCTCTGTATAGCCTCTTAACAGACTATTGGTAATAGGAGGAAGGCCTGCAGAGCACACGAGGGAGTGGATGTTCGATACCACGCCCGGTCGCCTTTGTCTCCCCCAGTACTGATGTATACACACTGCACCAGGTACTTATTTAAGCCTGCATCGACTTAGGGGAGACCCAGGGCCGGTTAAAATATTCACCACTGTTATTGGTCATGAGCGGGAATCAAAGTCGGATTTCCGGGTTCATAACCACTGCTCGACCGCTCCCACATCGCACATGTGCCACACGTACACACGTAACCCCCCCTCATCGGCCAATCTCATCTCTTCACAAAATCCTCTCGCAGGTTCTACTGGGACCTCGTCATGCTGCTGCTGATGGTGGGCAACCTCATCGTGATCCCCGTGGGCATCACCTTCTTCAAGGAGGAGACCACGACGCCCTGGATCATCTTCAACGTCTTCTCGGACACCTTCTTCCTCGTTGACCTCGTGCTCAACTTCCGCACCGGCATCGTGGTCGAGGACAACACCGACATCATCCTGGACCCACGCAAGATCAAGCGCACGTACCTACGCACCTGGTTCCTGGTGGACCTGGTGTCCTCCATCCCCGTCGACTACATCTTCCTCATCGTGGAGAGCGGCATGGACTCGGACGTGTACAAGACGGCGCGCGCGCTGCGCATCGTGCGCTTCGCCAAGATCCTCAGCCTGCTGAGGCTGCTGCGTCTGTCCAGGCTCATTCGCTACATCCACCAGTGGGAGGAGGTGAGCTTCTTCACGAGGTGGTGGTGTTTTTTTAATTTTCTTTTATATGTAATGCTTTGGGTATCCACGTAGACGTAAGTCTATAAATCTGTGTATAAATATATAGGTCTCTTTGTAAGCCTATGAGTCTCTGTATATTTCTATGGGTCTCTGTGTAAGCCTATGAGTTTCTGTATACATCTATGGGTCTCTATGTAAGCCTATTAGTCACCATGTAATCCTATGGGTATCCATGTAAGTCTATAAGTCTGTGTATAAATATATGGGTATGTATGTAAGCCATTGAGCCTCCATGTAATCCTATGGGTCTCTATGTAAGTCTATAAATCTGAGTCTCAATGCAATCATATGGGTCTCTATGTAAGTCTATAAATCTATGAGTCTCAATCTAATCATATGCGTCTCAGTGTAAGTCTAAAAGTCAATGTCGAAATATATGGGTCTCTATGCGAGCCTATGGATCTCAATATAATCCTATAGATCTCTATGTAAGCCTATGAATCTAGGAGTCTCAATGTAATTGTATGGGTCTCTGTGTAAGTCTATAAATCTACGTAGAAATCTATGGGTCTCTGTGCGAGCCTATGGCTCTCAATGTCATCCTATGGGTCTCTATGTAAGTCTATAAATATAAGAGTATCAATGTAATCCTTTGGGTCTCTATGTAAGTCTATAAATATATGAGTATACGTATCAATGTAATCATATGGGTCTCTGTGTAAGTCTATAAATCTACGTAGAAATCTATGGGTCCCTGTGCGAGCCTATGGCTCTCAATGTCATCCTATGGGTCTCTATCTGCAAGCGTATGGGTACCCTACGTTAACCTACGGGTCTCGATATAAATCTGTGGGTCTTCTCCGGGAGCCGGTGGGCATCGCTTGCAGGGCCGGTACAGTAGCAGTTGGCACGCAGTTTGACATTCCCGTCGTCCTTGTGTGGTGCGGCGTTGCACCGCCTCTCTCCGGTAGACGCTCCGTGAATCTTTTTTTAACGGCGCCTCGTGGCATTTTCCCCCAAAAAAAATGTTAAACAGATTCCCATCGAATCGCTCAATTGGACGTAACGGCCGGGCGAGCGGCAGCAGGCACGGAGGCCCTTGGGGTGACGTTCGGGGGCTCCCCGACGCAGCCAATAACTCCGCTCGCGTCGCGCGCATCGCGCTCACGAACTCGACACTCCCCCCCCCCTACCCCCTTCCTCCCCCACCACCCCCCCCCCCCACAACCGTTCCCCCACCGGTCCTCTTTCCTACATCGCCCCGTCAATCATCCAGGCACGATTGGGAGTACCGTACGGTGCTGATGAACCTTGATAAGGACGGAACCGCGCATGCAGTTGCCTCTATGGCCTTGTGATTATTCAAATGAAGTAAAGTTTTTTTTAAATGTCATATAAATAAATAGATGAGTGTGGGTGGTGAACGGGTGGCTCACGGGTCAGAGCACTGAGCCGGCGCCGCAGAGGGCCTGGGTTCGAATCCAGGCAACCGCCTGTGATTAAACCGGGGTCCCCAGTTGAAGCGGGTTGATGCTGGATGTAATTACCAGCGAAACGTCGTACTCAAACATTGTAAATGTTGTGGATTCACTCTTCAACACACCGTTGGGCTAAAGTAGTGAACTATTTTGTCTTTTGTCAACGTGACACTTTTTTTACTGATTGGCGGTGTCGGGTGGTGGAGTGTTACGACACATTTATAAATAACGCGATTTAACCCAAAAACTTTATTATGAATAATATTGGTCGCGAAAGCCTCCTACGTGTTAAATTGATGGTCTCATCCCAATCATCAATGGTACTGCATAGATACCCCGTGATATTACATTTGGGGTTGTTATTTTTTGTTCATTTACCCAATTAGGGGAGATTCCAGCATCACGAGAATTCCGTTGTTTCGGTTTCATTGGCCTGCGAACCAACAAGGTTACGCACGCGGTGATGCACCGTTAGCCGCGCAGTTCCTCCAGAAGATCTCACTGAACGCTCTTTGCAGGGGGGTGTGCGAGGTGTGCACCGAGTGTCGATAAATAAAGTAATCGATTAAAAGAAACAAGTATCCTTGGAGGAGCTCGGAAAGGATTTCTACAACAACAACAACGACATCTGCTCATAATTGTTTGGTTTACATTTGCCGTAGTCTCTGGATTATTAGACGCTCTCAAAACGGCGCGGTGATATTTAAAAAAAAGGAAATGAAAAAATAATCGGTTCTATAGTAGCGAGAATACGGCATCGCTATGGAGAGGCACTGCCTTCCAGAAGATGAATATTGAACACGCTGCTATTAAATGGGGAGAGAGATTCTTTTACAAGGTGATTGTGGACGGCTGTCGGTACCTCCTGCCCCCTGGCCGGTAATGTATGGCCGTGAAGAACGGCCTTCCGGAATATGGGTTTGAAAATCTAGATTACAACACATCTTCCAGAAGACAATGGCTCCTATGTAAGTCTATGGCTCCTATGTAAGTCTAAGTGTGTCTATGGCTTCTATGTAAGTCTAAGTGTGTCTCTGGCTCCTATGTAAGTCTAAGTGTGTCTCTGGCTTCTATGTAAGTCTACATGAGTCTATGGCTCCTATGTAAGTCTAAGTGTGTCTATGGCTCCTATGTAAGTCTAAGTGTGTCTCTGGCTTCGATGTAAGTCTATGTGAGTTTATGGCTTCTATGTAAGTCTATGTGAGTCTATGGCTCCTATGTAAGTCTATGTGAGTTTGTGGCTCATATGTAAGTCTACCTGAGTCTATGGCTCCTATGTAAGTCTACGTGTTTATGGCTCCTCTGTAAGTCTACATGAGTCTATGGCTACTATGTAAGTCTACCTGAGTCTTTGGCTCCTATGTAAGTCTACCTGAGTCTATGGCTTCTATGTAAGTCTACATGAGTCTATGACTCCTATGTAAGTCTACGTGAGTCTATGGCTCCTATGTAAGTCTACCTGAGTCTTTGGCTTCTATGTAAGTCTACCTGAGTCTATGGCTTCTATGTAAGTCTACATGAGTCTATGACTCCTATGTAAGTCTACGTGAGTCTATGGCTCTTATGTAAGTCTACGTGAGTCTATGGCTTCTATGTAAGTCTATGTGAGTCTATGGCTCCTATGTAAGTCTACCTGAGTCTATGGCTTCTATGTAAGTCTATATGAGTCTATGGCTCCTATGTAAGTCTGCGTGAGTCTATGGCTCCTATGTAAGTCTATGTGAGTCTATGGCTTCTATGTAAGTCTATGTGAGTCTATGGCTCCTATGTAAGTCTATGTGAGTCTATGGCTTCTATGTAAGTCTATGTGAGTCTATGGCTCCTATGTAAGTCTACGTGAGTTTATGGCTTCTATGTAAGTCTACGTGAGTCTATGGCTCCTATGTAAGTCTATGTGAGTCTATGGCTTCTATGTAAGTCTACCTGAGTCTATGGCTCCTATGTAAGTCTACGTGTTTATGGATCCTATGTAAGTCTACCTGAGTCTATGGCTCCTATGTAAGTCTACCTGAGTCTATGGCTTCTATGTAAGTCGATGTTAGTCTATGGCGCCTATGTAAGTCTATGTGAGTCTTTGGCTCCTATGTAAGTCTACCTGAGTCTATGGCATCTATGTAAGTCTACCTGAGTCTCTGGCTTCCATGTAAGTCTACATGAGTCTCTGGCTCCTATGTAAGTCTATGTGAGTCTATGGCTCCTATGTAAGTCTACGTGAGTCTATGGCTCCTATGTAAGGCTATGTGAGTTTATGGATCCTATGTAAGTCTACGTGAGTCTCTGGCTCCTATGTAAGGCTATGTGAGTTTATAGCTCCTATATAAGGCTATGTGAGTTTATAGCTCCTATATAAGGCTATGTGAGTTCATGGCTCCTATGTAAGAATGTGTGAGTCTACGTGAGTCACTGGCTCTGATGTAAGTCTCTGGACACGGGAGGCAAGTGGCAAACCGATTTATGACGCCGACGATCGAAGTCGACCCTAACCCTGACCCCCCGTGATGATGAGCCGCGCGGGCGTCACTCGAGCGAGCGAGCGGGCGAACGGGCGAGCGGGCGGCCGAGGTCCGGGCCCCTTCAATGTCAAGGTCACCCAAGGTCACCAATCAGCGTCGCTACAAATGACCTCCGCCACTGCCGCCCGCCTCCAGCAGAAGCGGCGCGAGGTTTGCCCACCTTGGCGGCGAGCGGTGGGACAGCGGTTAGCTGCGCTGCACTGCGAACCCGACGACCCCGAAGCTCGATTCCCACTCAACGGCCAACACCAACACCGGTGCCAATTGTCTCTGAGCCGGTCCTAGGCCTCGCCTAGGCCGACTCAGCCTCAATTGAGTAATTGGTGCAATGTGTAAACATCGCAATAGGAGAGACAAATGCGGTCGGGCGTGGTGCTCACCAACCATCGCTGCTCGCTCACAGCATTTGCCCCGACAGTCTATACTGAGGGGGAGGTTGTCTGTTTTAGTATGTCCACCCTTGTGTGAGTGTGTGTGCTCTCCACCTTAGCGTGAGTGTGTGTGCTCTCCACCTTAGCGTGAGTGTGTGTGCTGTCCACCCTGGTGTGAGTGTGTGTGTGTGCTGTCCACCTTAGTGTGAGTGTGTGTGCTGTCCACCCTGGTGTGAGTGTGTGTGCTCTCCACCTTAGCGTGAGTGTGTGTGCTGTCCACCCTGGTGTGAGTGTGTGTGTGTGCTGTCCACCTTAATGTGAGTGTGTGTGCTGTCCACCCTGGTGTGAGTGTGTGTGCTCTCCACCTTAGCGTGAGTGTGTGTGCTGTCCACCCTGGTGTGAGTGTGTGTGTGTGCTGTCCACCTTAGTGTGAGTGTGTGTGCTGTCCACCCTGGTGTGAGTGTGTGTGTAGCCCACTTGCACTCACACGCTCCCTCGTAAATCGATTTAATTAACAGAGTGTCTACGTGTCTACGTGTCTGTGAGTGTGCGTGTGTGTGTGCATGTTGGCCGGTCTCTGTGTGTGTGTGTGTGGGGGGGGGGTCATATGGTAGACTATTGTCTTTGGGATAGGTTCTCGCTTAACAGCACTTGCTTCAGAAGTATATTAAAGGCTATACGGGGGGGATGTATGTGTTGTTTTAGTTTGTACTGTCTTTGGGACTGTGGAGGAGGCTCGTGAAGGACGCTGCTACTGGGGAGTTGGAAGCAGTTGCCCTCCGGCAACAACGGAGGGTCGAGAAGCGACGCTCACAACAACGAGTGGGGTGCGTGGTGGCTAAAACAGAGCAAGTTGGAATAGTAGGGGGCACAGGTGGTGCATCGGCCAGTCATCTCAGTCAATCAACCCTCCTGCCAGCGGGCGTTCGACACTTCACGTGGCCTTAACGTGCACGTAGCCTGGCATAAGCGCCATTGTGACGTCATCGCCACTTAGTGGCGAATGGCAGTTGTTGTTGTTGTTGTGTGTATGGTTGTGTATGTGGTGTTGGCCACCCGTCCCCTCGTGTGCTGTGCCGGCCTTCATAGGTTCGTTCGTTCGTTCGTTTCTCAGTTCGCTCGTCCTGGTGAGGGTCGCGGTGGCAGCGCATTGAGTAGGGGCGGTCCACACCTCCCTGACGACAGACTCTAGATCTACATTACTATACACTATACACTACACTATACACTACACTATACACTACTATACACTACACTACTATATACTACTACACTATACACTACACTATACACTACTACACTATACACTACACTATACACTACTATACACTACACTACACACTACTACACTATACACTATACTACTATATATTACTACACTATACACTACACTATACACTACTACACTATACACTAGACTATACACTACTACACTATACACTACACTATACACTACTACACTATACACTACTATATAATACACTACTATACATTACTAAACTATACACTACACTATACACTACTACACTATACACTACACTGCTATACACTACTATACACTACACTATACACTACTACACGATACACTACACTGCTATACACTACTATACACTACACTATATACTACACTATACACTACACTATACACTACTACACTATACACTACACTGCTATACACTACTATGCACTACACTATATACTACACTACTACACTACACTATACACTACTACACTATACACTACACTGCTATACACTACTATACACTACTACACTATACACTACACTATACACTACACTGCTATACACTACACTATACACTACACTGCTATACACTACTATACACTACACTATACACTATACACTACACTGCTATACACTACTATACACTACACTATACACTACACTATACACGATACATACACTACTATACACTACACTATACACTACACTATACACTACACTATTATACACTACACTACTATACACTAGACTGCTATACACTACTACACACTACACTATACACTACTACACTATACACTACACTACTATACACTACACTGCTATACACTACTACACTATACACTACTACACTATACACTACACTCCTATACACTACTATACACTACACTATACACTACTACACTATACACTACACTGCTATACACTACACTATACACTACTACACTATACACTACACTGCTATACACTACTACACTATAAACTACACTGCTATACACTGCTACACACTACACTATACCTACTACACTATACACTACACTGCTATGCACTACACTATACACTACTACACTATACACTACACTGCTATACACTACTATACACTACACTATACACTACTACACTATACACTACACTGCTGTACACTACACTATACACTACACTACTATACACTACACTATACACTACTACACTATACACTACACTGCTATACACTACACTACTATACACTACACTATACACTACACTGCTATACACTACTATACACTACACTATACACTACTACACTATACACTACTACACTATACACTACACTGCTATACACTACTACAAACTACATTATACACTACTACACTATACACTACACTGCTATACACTACACTACTACACTACACTATACACTACTACACTATACACTACTCCACTATACACTGCACTGCTATACACTACACTATACACTACTACACTATACACTACACTGCACTACACTGCTGTACACTACACTATACACTACTACACTATACACTACACTGCTATACACTACTATACACTATTACACTATACACTACTACACTATACACTACACTGCTATACACTACACTACTATACACTACACTATACACTACACTATACACTACTATACACTACACTATACACTAATACACTATACACTACTCCACTATACACAACACTGCTATACACTACTACACACTACACTATACACTACTACACTATACACTACACTGCTATACACTACACTACTACACTATACACTACTACACCATACACTACACTGCTATACACTACTATACACTACTACACTATACACTACACTGCTATACACTACTAAACACTACACTATACACTACTACACTGTACACTACACTGCTGTACACTACACTATACACTACACTACTATACACTACTACACTATACACTACACTGCTATACACTACACTACTATACACTACACTGCTATACACTACTATACACTACACTATACACTACACTATACACTACTACACTATACACTACACTGCTATACACTACTACACACTACACTATGCACTACTACACTACACACTACACTGCTATACACTGCACTACTACACTACACTATACACTACTACACTATACACTACACTGCTATACACTACTATACACTACTACACTATACACTACTCCACTATACACTACACTGCTATACACTACACTATACACTACTACACTATACACTACACTGCTATACACTACTATACTCTACACTATACACTACTACACTATACACTACACTATACACTACTATACACTACACTATACACTACTACACTATACACTACACTGCTATATACTACTATACACTACTACACTATACACTACACTGCTATACACTACTATACACTACACTACTATACACCGCGCTATACACTACTATACTACACACTACTACACTACACTGCTATATACTACTATACACTACACTATACACTACTACACTATACACTACTACACTACACTGCTATACACTACTATACACTACACTATACACTACTACACTACACTATACACTACACTACTATACACTACACTATACACTACTATACACTACACTATACACTACTACACTATACACTACACTGCTATACACTACTATACACTACACTATACACTACTACACTATACACTACACTGCTATACACTACTATACACTACACTACTATACACTGCACTATACACTACTATACTACACACTACTACACTATACACTACACTGCTATACACTACTATACACTACATTATACACTACACTATACACTACTACACTATACACTACACTGCTATACACTACTATACACGGACTCTAGCTCTTCCTGGAGAATTCCCAGGTGTTCCCAGACCAGCAGAGCGACGTAGTGGGACGTGCTGCCCTGTAGAGTTCCAGGGTGGAGTCTACCGGGGGGGCATCCTTACCGGGTGTCCTCGAGCCACCTCGACTGGCTCCTCTCGATCCGCAGGAGCAGCAGCTCGACTCTACGGCTCTCTCCGATTACCGAGCTCCTCATCCCATCACGGAGAGTGAGCCCGGAAAACCCTACCGATAAACCTAATTTCGGTCCCTTGTACCCGCGATCTCACCCCTTCGGTCATTACCCGAAGCCCATGGCCATAGGTGAGGGTGGGAACGTAGATCGACCGGTAAACCGCGAGCTTTGGTCGAGAACTCGGCTCCCGTTTCACACAGTGTGCTACTCGCGCTAACAGCACCGGCGCCAACTGTCTGTCCAGGCTATACGCTGGACCTTTGTCGTTGTGTGTTTCTTTGTAGTTAGCGCTACGCTGCGCTACGAACCCGGCGACCAGAGTTCGATTCCCGCTCACGGCCAACACCAGTGACGATTATTCTGAACCGGTCTTGGGCCTCCCCTAAGTCGACTCAGCTTCGAATGAGTACCTGGTGCGGTGTGTAAACATCGCCACTGGGGAGACAAACGCGGCCGGGCGTGGTGCTGGCCACCCACCGCCTCATGTGCCGTTTCGGCCTCACAAAGGTGCTCGCTAACAGCACTTGCCCCTACAGTCTGATAAGGCTACACGGAGGGGGGAGTGGGTGGGAATCTTTGTCTTTGTGTGTGTCTGTCTCTGTGCTCTTCCGGCCTTGCATATGTAAAGACGACTTGAGACACTTCTCTTGAGGTGGCACTTCATTGAAGACACGTTCACTTGACACAGGCGGAGATGCCACTGCAACAGCCCCGAGTCTCCCGCGCATCTCCCTTTTATATACGGACCGAGGCCACGCCCCGCCCCCCCCCCCCTTCCCGAACCTTCTCCCTGACTCTGGACGCTCGCTCCACCGGCAGACTCCACCGGCCTCTTCCGTCACCTGACCGCGCTCCCTTCTCGATCATTCCCTGTCATTACCTCCCTTGGCCACAAGTCCATTCGCACTGCAGGCTAACTCCCCTGTCATTACCTCCTGTGGCCACTAGTCCACTCGCACTGCAGGCTGACTCCCCTGTCATTACCTCCTGTGGCCACTAGTCCACTCGCACTGCAGGCTGACTCCCCTGTCATTGCCTCCCGTGGCCACGAGTGCATTCACACCGTCGGCTTCCTCCCTTGTCATTGCCTCCCGTGGCCACCAGTTCACTGACACCGCATGTAGACTCCACTGTGATTACACATAGGTAGCAGCATTGAGGCGATACGGGGGTATCTTTGTCTTCGTGTCGCCCTTGCCCGTCGCGACAGATCTTCCACATGACGTACGACCTGGCGAGTGCCGTGATGCGCATCATCAACCTCATCGCCATGATGCTGCTGCTGTGCCACTGGGACGGCTGTCTGCAGTTCCTAGTGCCCATGCTGCAGGACTTCCCAGAGGACTGCTGGGTCACCACCTCCCGCATGGTGGTACGGCCGGAGGAAAACTACAACACAATGGGACAGCGCAATCACACACACACACACCACTGTCACACAATGACCAGCACACACACACACCACTGTCACACAATGACCAGCACACACACACACCACTGTCACACAATAACCAGCACACACACACACCACTGTCACACAATAACCAGCACACACACACACACCACTGTCACACAATGACCAGCACACACACACACCACTGTCACACAATAACCAGCACACACACACACACACACCACTGTCACACAATGACCAGCACACACACACACCACTGTCACACAATAACCAGCACACACACACACCACTGTCACACAATAACCAGCACACACACACCACTGTCACACAATAACCAGCACACACACACACACCACTGTCACACAATGACCAGCACACACACACACACCACTGTCACATAATGACCAGCGCACACACACACACCACTGTCACATAATGACCAGCGCACACACACACACACACACCACTTTCACCTAATGACCAGCACACACACACACACCACTGTCACACAATAACCAGCACACACACACACCACTGACACACAATAACCAGCACACACACACCACTGTCACACAATAACCATCACACACACACACACCACTGTCACACAATAACCAGCACACACACACACACCACTGTCACAATGACCAGCACACACACACACACACCACTGTCACACAATGACCAGCACACACACACACACCACTGTCACACAATAACCAGCACACACACACACACCACTGTCACACAATGACCAGCACACACACACACACCACTGTCACACAATAACCAGCACACACACACACCACTGTCACACAAAAACCAGCACACACACACACACACCACTGTCACACAATAACCAGCACACACACACACCACTGTCACATAATGACCAGCACACACACCACTGTCACACAATGACCAGCACACACACACACACCACTGACACACAATGACCAGCACACACACACACCACTGTCACACAATAACCAGCACACACACACCACTGTCACAATGACCAGCACACACACACCACTGTCACACAATGACCAGCACACACACACACACCACTGTCACACAATGACCAGCACACACACACACACCACTGTCACACAATGACCAGCACACACACACCACTGTCACACAATGACCAGCACACACACACACACCACTGTCACACAATAACCAGCACACACACACACCACTGTCACACAATAACCAGCACACACACACACCACTGTCACACAAAAACCAGCACACACACACACACACACCACTGTCACACAATAACCAGCACACACACACACCACTGTCACATAATGACCAGCACACACACCACTGTCACACAATAACCAGCACACACACACCACTGTCACAATGACCAGCACACACACACACCACTGTCACACAATGACCAGCACACACACACACACCACTGTCACACAATGACCAGCACACACACACACACCACTGTCACACAATGACCAGCACACACACACACAACTGTCACACAATGACCAGCACACACACACACACCACTGTCACACAATAACCAGCACACACACACACCACTGTCACACAATAACCAGCACACACACACACCACTGTCACACAAAAACCAGCACACACACACACACACCACTGTCACACAATAACCAGCACACACACACACCACTGTCACATAATGACCAGCACACACACCACTGTCACACAATGACCAGCACACACACACACCACTGACACACAATGACCAGCACACACCACTGTCACACAATGACCAGCACACACACACACACACCACTGTCACACAATAACCAGCACACACACACACACCACTGTCACACAATAACCAGCACACACACACACACACCACTGTCACACAATGACCAGCACACACACACATACACACCACTGTCACACATAGACCAGCACACACACACACACCACTGTCACACAATAACCAGCACACACACACATACACACCACTGTCACACAATAACCAGCACACACACACACACCACTGTCACACATAGACCAGCACACACACCACTGTCACACAATGACCAGCACACACACCACTGTCACACAATAACCAGCACACACACACCACTGTCACACAATAACCAGCACACACACACACACCACTGTCACACAATGACCAGCACACACACACACACACCACTGTCACACAATAACCAGCACACACACACACCACTGGCCCACAATGGTCAGCAGCAGAGTGCATTCTGTAGGGCTGGAGCAGGCCTGAGTGGGGGACTAGGTTCCTTATCTTATTTTATATTTCATATTTGTAGAGCGCCTATACTCAAGGCACTTTAAGCAAGTATTTTTTTTTTATTGAGCACTCTTATGAGCCCGGTCCATCACGAATGCTCATCGATCACACATTGAAGTTGGCTCTCTGATACAACAACAACAATAACAACAACAACAACAGCGGTGTGGAGTCTGTTGCAGGACTGGCTCCGACTCACGGGATGGATCCCGCACGTGAGCTTGGTAGCGGTGCTCCGGCGTCTCTGGGCCAGAGACCCCCAAAAAAGTGCGCGCGAGGTTTACACACGCGCGGGTGCAGCGGCGTAGCCGAAGTCGACTTGGGTCTATTGAAGCTCTTGAAGCAGTTTTAAAAGCGGCAAAGTATGAAAAAAACTGATTGAGATGGCGGCAAGGGCAAGGGAGGGCAAGGGCGGACGAATTTGGGGCCACAACAGAGGGCACACGGCGGCCTTCTTCATTGCATTGCCACCACCAAGGGGGCCACTGGCGGCCCGCCAGTGGCTTTTAGTGCGGCCCCTGACGCACCCCCCCATCATCATCATCATCGTCGTCATCGTCATCGTGCTGCTGTCAAACTCAGCAATGGTTTCAAATGCGTGTGGCGGCCCTCGGCACTGATGATGTATCATCAGCGAAAGTGCCAACCCCCCCCTCCCCCGCGTCTCTGAAAACGAGTGAAGAGCACTGGCACGCAGGGTCTCGAGAGGGGCTTTCGGGGGAGGGGAATGGGACGGAGTGCAGGGGCTTGACTCTCTCGGCTGAACCCACCATCGACATCACGTGTCGATGGCTCGGAGAGATGGCCCCAATGTCTGTACGTCTGCTGAATTTCGTTCGCAACCGTACGTAGCCAACCGTGCTCATAGAGATGACCAGGCTAGGGAGACAGCCACGTTCGTTAACGTTAACGCCGCACGTGGCCTGAAAGAGAAATATATATGACGTTTCGGGCGATGGTCCTTCTGGTGTATTGTCTGATACGTCGGCTGTTATATAATCTTTCTTTGAAGGCCGCGCAATCATATTACGTGATTGATTGACGTTTGTACGTTGAACTTCTTTCGCACCGTACGTAGCCAACCGTGCTAATCGGAGGTGCGGGGTGGAATGACAAACAAACTAAACACACAACAACAACAACAAGAAGCAGTTCTAAAGAAATGTAGTTTTTTTTCAATCTGCCGCAATGGTGCACAGAATAACGAAACAACTCAATGGATTCGGAGCCTTGCCTACTCGCCGAACCGCGAATAACAACAGGCGTGAAGTCGCAGTGAAGGACAAGTGACAGTGGCACAGACACGTGATAGTGACACAGACACGTGATAGTGATAGGGACACGTGACAGATTCCGTCCGATCTCAATGACAATCAGGGCGCTATTGTTACAGCAAGGTGAGAATCGCGGCGCACGTGGATGAATTGGAAGGCGATTTCGGTGAAATAATCACGGTCACTTCGTCATTCTGTTTCTTATGTGTGGGCACGCAGTGAGATTACCTCCACTCAAAGTCACGCAAATCGCTCCATGTCCCAGTTGCTCCAGCGACTTTTTCTCAAAATGTGACTTGCGCAACTCATGGCTGGGTTGTTGTTGTTGTTGGCGTTTGTTCTGAATTACTTATTTCTCTTCCAAGTTTCAATTAAAACAAAAGTTCAGGAGGGGGTGGGGGTGGTACCGGAGGGAACGAGGGGAGAGGCGGGTGGAGGGCGGGAGGGTGAACCGCCAGCCGGGACCTAAAAACTCGACTATAAACTATTGTTTTTAAATGTTACCAGGCGTATAGCCCACTGAGCTATATATATGTAACTGTTTTAGAAGTTACCTGGCTACACATGCGAGCTCAACGAAGTGGCTTATCACGTGAAAATTTATAGCAGCCAAATACTCTAAAAGGCACGGTGGTTCTAAATGTGGAGGGAAAACCCGGAGGACCCGGATAGAAATCTCCAAATATACAGGCGGCAGTGCCATGTTCGAACCCACGATCCTCCTGTGTACCAGGCGTGGCAGTGGGCGTCTCGCCTCCCTGGCGCCCACCCTGCATTCTCTCCACCGGGTCAAATCGCCAATCTCCACCAACCTGCCACCGTACGCGATTGTAACCAAAACCACACCACAAAAAAACCTCCCCCATCCATCCCAGCGTTCCACCCCAACGGTGAGGCCAAGATTTCGTGCATAACTCGTCCTTGGCAAATACGGGCGCCCGATTATGAACAGCTCCTCCGCCCCCCCCACCCGCCGCCACCCCCCCCCCCGACTGAAGAGAACAAACAAGGCCTCTCCTCGCACGGGAGAGGCGTTGGTGAAGTTCATTGAAATGCGAGAGGGCGAGCGTTGTTAATCCTCCCTGGCGAGAAAGATTCCGAGCGCTCCACAGTCGGCAACGCCGCGTACCCACCTCGCAGGAATTCCACCCCCCCCCCACCCCGCAGCCCCCCACCCCGCTCCCCAACCCCCCCCCCTCCCCCCACTCACCCCCAGTCCTCCTCCCCTCAGCCCCCTCCTCTCCCCAACCCCCCTTCCCCCACTCACCCCCAGCCCCCTCCTCTCCCCAACCCCCCTCCCCCCAGCCCCCCCCCTTCCTCCCACCCCCACCCCCAGCCCCCCCCCAGCCCCCTCCTCTCCCCAACCCCCCTCTCACCCCCAGCCCCCTCCTCTCCCCAATCCCCCTCCCCCCAGCTCCCCCCCTTCCTCCCACCCCCAGCCTCCCCTCCCCCCAGCTCCTCCTCTCCCCAACCCCCCTCCCCCAAGCTCCCCTCTTTCCTCCCACCCCCAGCCTCCCTCCCCCCCAGCCCCTCCTCCACCCAGCCCCCCCCTACCCCCCCCTCCCCCTCTCACCCCCGCCGAGTATGACGGGCTGTGATTGTGGCCCTGAGTGGTTTGACCGTGGGGGGAGGGGGGGGGGGGTGCGATCTAAACTAAACTAAATAAAATAAACTTCACTATTTTTATTTATCTTACAAGGTGTAACCCCCCCCCCCCCACCCTCCACTGAGCTATACGGCTCTCCCCCCCCCCCCCCCCCCCCCGAAGTGACCTGAGCTGTCACAAAACGATCGCTCAACGAAGTTTAGTGGCTGATCATCATCGCGAAGAAAGAATTCTAAAACTCGTCCGTGCGCTGTCTAAATGTGAAGGTGCGGGGTGGGGTGGAACAAGTTTGAGTGTTTTGGAACAGAGGCTTCGGATGATTCTCAAGCTGGGGGGGGGCGTTGGAGGAGGAGTGGGGGGGGGGGTCCAGACAATTTTATTTAATTGTATTATTTTCCATCTACGTGACTTTACCGAAAGAACCAAAGAATATTAAAAAAAGAGATGTGTCCAGACAAAGTGTCGACATTCAGTGTCTCATCAGCAGAGTCAGGTTCGCTTGTCAACCGAAGCCGGCGAGCCCCGGAGACAACCACACCACGGTAGGAGGAGATGATACACGCCGAAGAGGAGACACTGAAGAGGAGACACAATGAAGAGGAGACACTGAAGAGGAGATACCGAAGAGGAGACACACACTGAAGAGGAGACACACACTGAAGAGGAGACACTGAAGAGGAGACACTGAAGAGGAGACACTGAAGAGGAGACACTGAAGAGGAGACACTGAAGAGGAGACACTGAAGAGGAGACACACTGAAGAGGAGACACTGAAGAGGAGACACTGAAGAGGAGACACTGAAGAGGAGACACTGAAGAGGAGACACTGAAGAGGAGACACTGAAGAGGAGACACACTGAAGAGGAGACACACACTGAAGAGGAGACACACTGAAGAGGAGACACACTGAAGAGGAGACACTGAAGAGGAGACACTGAAGAGGAGACACTGAAGAGGAGACACTGAAGAGGAGACACTGAAGAGGAGACACTGAAGAGGAGACACACTGAAGAGGAGACACTGAAGAGGAGACACTGAAGAGGAGACACTGAAGAGGAGACACTGAAGAGGAGACACTGAAGAGGAGACACTGAAGAGGAGACACACTGAAGAGGAGACACACACTGAAGAGGAGACACACTGAAGAGGAGACACACTGAAGAGGAGACACTGAAGAGGAGACACACTGAAGAGGAGACACACTGAAGAGGAGACACTGAAGAGGAGACACAATGAAGAGGAGACACAATGAAGAGGAGACACAATGAAGAGGAAACACTGAAGAGGAGACACCGAAGAGGAGACACACTGAAGAGGAGACACACACCGAAGAGGAGACACACTGAAGAGGAGACACTGAGGAGGAGACACACTGAAGAGGAGACACTGAAGAGGAGACACACACCGAAGAGGAGACACTGAAGAGGAGACACTGAAGAGGAGACACACTGAAGAGGAGACACACACGGAAGAGGAGACATAATGAAGAGGAGACACAATGAAGAGGAAACACTGAAGAGGAGACACCGAAGAGGAGACACCGAAGAGGAGACACACTGAAGAGGAGACACAATGAAGAGGAGACACTGAAGAGGAGATACCGAAGAGGAGACACACACTGAAGAGGAGACACACACTGAAGAGGAGACACAATGAAGAGGAGACCCACACTGAAGAGGAGACACACACACCGAAGAGGAGACACACGCTGAAGAGGACGTGGGTAGACAAGGAACCTACTTGCTGCACTGCACCGCCCTGTGCCGCCCTGGGTGGGATTCTGGCGCGCAGCGTGATCCCGGAGTGATCCGCTAACCCGAGGCGCGCGGCGCCGGATTCCGGGCGTGCGGAGACACGCCCGGAGATCACGCTCCTCACCCACACTCACCCCTACTCACACTCACACACACTCAGACACACACTCACCCCTACTCACACTCACCCCTACTCACACTCACACACACTCACACACACACTCACTCACCCCTACTCACACTCACCCCTACTCACACTCACCCACACTCACCCCTACTCACACTCACCCCTACTCACACACACTCACACACACACTCACCCCTACTCACACTCACCCCTACTCACACTCACACACACTCACACACACACTCACCCCTACTCACACTCACCCCTACTCACACTCACCCCTACTCACACTCACACACACTCACACACACACTCACCCCTACTCACACTCACACTCACCCCTACTCACACTCACACACACTCACACACACACTCACCCCTACTCACACTCACCCCTACTCACACTCACACACACTCACACACACACTCACCCCTACTCACACTCACCCCTACTCACACTCACCCCTACTCACACTTACCCACACTCACCCCTACTCACACTCACCCCTACTCACACTCACACACACTCACCCCTACTCACACACACTCACACTCACTCACCCCTACTCACACTCACCCACTCTCACACTCACCCCTACTCACACTCACCCACGCTCCTCACCCACACTCACCCTTACTCACACTCACCCACACTCACCCCTACTCACACTCACTCCTACTTACACTCACCCACACTCACACTCACACTCACCCACACTCACCCACCCACACTCACCCACACTCACCCACCCACACTCACCCACCCACACTCACCCACACTCACACACCCACCCACACTCACCCACCCACACTCACCCACACACCCACCCTCACCAACCCACACTCACCCACCCACGCTCACCCACCCACACCCACCCACACTCACCCACCCACCCACACTCACCCACCCACACTCACCCACCCACACTCACCCACCCACACACACCCACACTCACCCACCCACACTCACCCACCCACCCACACACACCCACACTCACCCACCCACACTCACCTACACCCACCCACACTCACCCACCCACACTCTCCCACACTCACCCACCCACACTCACCCACCCACACTCACCCACATTCACCCACCCACACTCACCCACCCACACTCACCCACACTCACCCACACTCACCCACCCACACTCACCCACACTCACCCACCCACACTCACCCACCCACACTCACCTACCCACACTCACCTACTCACACTCACCCACCCACACTCACCCACCCACACCCACCCACACTCACCCACCCACACTCACCCACACCCACCCACACTCACCCACCCACACTCCCCACCCACACTCACCTACCCACACTCACCTACCCACACTCACCTACCCACACTCACCCACACCCACCCACACTCACCCACCCACACACACCCATACTCACCCACCCACACTCACCCACCCACAATCACCCACACTCACCCACCCACACTCACCCACCCACACTCACCTACCCACACTCACCTACCCACACTCACCTACCCACACTCACCCACACCCACCCACACTCACCCACCCACACTCACCCATACTCACCCACCCACACTCACCCACCCACAATCACCCACACTCACCCACCCACACTCACCCACCCACACTCACCTACCCACACTCACCTACCCACACTCACCCACCCACCCACACTCACCCACCCACACTCACCCACAGCGCCGTTGTTTACCACACGCACGGCGAGTTTGCCAGGGGGAGGGTGGGGGTGGAAGCGATCTCTTAATTTGTGTTACTTAGCGATGTCGCGGTTTGCTGCCCACCGCACGGCACCCACCCCCTCGTGTGCAACAGTGCCGGCCTTTATGAGTTGCTGCTATTCCTCGTTCACTAACAGCACTTGTCCCCTCCCCCCCCACCACCACGTGAAGGCTACACGGGCGACCTTTGTCATTGTGTGCCGCCGCAGAACGTGTCGTGGGAGATGCAGTACTCGTACGCCCTCTTCATGGCCATGAGCCACATGCTGTGCATCGGCTACGGCCAGCAGGCGCCCTCCAGCATGTCGGACGTGTGGCTCACCATGCTCAGCATGATCGTGGGCGCCACGTGCTACGCCATGTTCATCGGGCACGCCACGGCGCTCATCCAGTCGCTCGACTCGTCGCGCCGTCAGTACCAGGAGAAGGTGCGTGGGGTGCATTGAGGATCACCCCCCAACCCCCACCTCCTCCATCTCCCCTCGTGGGGAGGGGTGGGGTGGGGGGGATGTGGGAGATTGTGACGTTGCTGGGGCATCTAAAAATCCAGCCACGTGAAGCTTTTCGAGGGGTTCCCCTCGGAGGAATGCCTCTTAGATTTGTTGTCATATGTCGCAATGGAAATACAGGGACTCCTCTACTTGCGAACTGTCAGAGACATGAACGAGCCTGGTCCGTACGTCCAGTTGCCTGTTCGGAACCGAGAGTCTTAAGTTCAACCGCCGTGCAATAGACGGCGGTGGTGGCATCTACGTCTGCAGAACGTGAAGAACCAGCGGCATCTACGTCTAAAGGAGATTACACAACTTTTGAAGCCATTCCCCCGTGTTTAGTGTCCGTGCCGTACAACGTGTTTGGAATCGATAGGAGTAAAGTTGGAACTTGCGAACAAATCGACTTGCGAACAGAGACCTCTGGAACCTAACTCGTTCGTAAGAAGAGGAGACCCTGTAACCGTTTAAGTCAGGTTTTTGTTTGTTTATTATTTCCACAGTCTTCTTTATTTTTCAACCGATTATGTTAAAAACTTGCAACTTCGTGCCGTTGTTTCATTGTTATTTATTTCGTATTCGGAGGTCGCCGCCCGCCTGCCGCACCCCTCGTAATGAGAGGCCCGAAGCTGTGGCTCACTCGGCCTAGGCCTGCATCCGGCCCTGGGGGATTCTAATCGTCGACACTGTCATCATCATCATCATCCTCATCATCATCCTCATCATCATCCTCATCATCATCATCATCCTCATCATCCTCATCAGCAGCAATGACCCGTCGCCTCTCACCCGTTGACGCGGGTGACCGCTTCACCCCACATTGACCAGTCGACCCCATGTGCATCACTGTGACACGTTGACCGAATGACCCCTCTGTGCATCGCTCACACGTTGACCCCACCATTGACCCGTCGACACATTGACCCCCCCCTGTGCATCGCTGACCCATTGACCCCTATGTGCATCACTGACACGTTGATCCCCCCATTGACTCGTTGACCCCCTGTGCATCGCTGACCCATTGACCCCCACGTGCATCACCGACACGTTGACCACCCCACCCCACCCCCATTGACCCCCCTATGCATCGCTGACACTTTGACCCGTCGACCTGATGACCTTCCCCCCTCTGCTTAGCTGACACATTGAACTCCCACTGACCAGATTAACACCACGTGGGCTCACAGCGATGACGTCACATTTGCTTGAGACTGACGACGCAGGGGAGACTTTCCTCGCAATTCCATGCCAATTGCCCCGAGTTGGAGCTCCTGCTTGGTTGCAGTCGCCCGCGGAACCTTCACCGTACTCGAAATTGTAAACGCCGCGGGGTTTGCTTTCCCAACACACCCACAACAACAACAACAACAACCCCGGCGCGCTGGAAGCGGCCGGGGAATTTGTCCACGTTTTGTTTCCGGCGACGAGGCCTCGCCGATTGGCTGTGTCGGGGGCGGCGATGGCTTTAGTGGCACGTTTCACATTTACACGATATAACCCCCCCCCACCCCCATTGACCGGTCGACCCCCTTGAGCCGCTGTTCCGTCATTGACCCCTTGACCTATTGACCCCCCGCGCGCAGTACAAGCAAGTGGAGCAGTACATGTCGTTCCACAAGCTGCCGGCGGAGCTGCGCCAGCGCATCCACGAGTACTACGAGCACCGCTACCAGGGCAAGATGTTCGACGAGGACAACATCCTGGGGGAGCTCAACGAGCCGCTCAGACACGTGAGGGCGAGACGCGTGGCCGTCATCGCCATCGCCTTCTCTATCACCATCGTCATCATCATCATCTTCATCTCCATAACCATCGTCATCTCTATAACCATCGTCATCGCCATCTCCATAACCATCGTCATCTCTATAACCATCGCCATCTCCATAACCATCGTCATCATCATCATCTCCATAACTATCGCCATCTCCATAACCATCGTCATCTCCATCTCCATAACCATCGTCATCACCATCTCCATAACCATCGTCAACACCATCTCCATAACCATCGTCATCTCTATAGCCATCGCCATCATCATCTCCATAACCATCGTCATCTCTATAATCATCACCATCTCCACAACCATCGTCATCACCATCTCCATAACCATCGTCATCTCTATAATCATCGTCATCTCTATAATCATTGTCATCTCTATAACCATCGTCATCACCATCTCCATAACCATCGTCATCACTATCTCTATGACCATCGTCATCACCATCTCCATAACCATCGTCATCACCATCTCCATAACCATCGTCATCACCATCTCTATAACCATCATCATCACCATCTCCATAACCATCGTCATCACCATCTCCATAACCATCGTCATCACTATCTCTATAACCATCGTCATCACCATCTCCATAACCATCGTCATCACCATCTCCATAACCATCGTCATCACCATCTCTATAACCATCGTCATCACCATCTCCATAACCATCGTCATCACCATCTCCATAACCATCGTCATCACCATCTCCATAACCATCGTCATCACCATCTCTATAACCATCGTCATCACCATCTCCATAACCATCGTCATCATCATCATCTCCATAACCATCGTCATCACCATCTCTATAACCATCGTCATCACCATCTCCATAACCATTGTCATCACCATCTCCATAACCATCGTCAACACCATCTCCATAACCATCGTCATCTCCATAACCATCGTCATCACCATCTCTATAAACATCGTCATCACCATCTCTATAACCATCGTCATCACCATCTCTATAACCATCACCATCTCTATAACCATCGTCATCACCATCTCTATAACCATCGTCATCACGATCTCTATAACCATCGTCATCACCATCTCCATAACCATCGTCATCACCATCTCTATAACCATCGTCATCACCATCTCTATAACCATCGTCATCACACCATCTCCATAACCATCGTCATCACCATCTCCATGACCATCATCACCGCCACCGCCGCCGTGGTCACCTGGTCGCCACGAACCACGCCGCCCGTGCCGCTCCCTCCCCCGCCGACCGCAGGAGATCGTCAACTACAACTGCCGCAAGCTCGTCGCCTCCATGCCGCTGTTCGCCAACGCGGACCCCAACTTCGTGACGGCGATGCTCACCAAGCTGCAGTTCGAGGTGTTCCAGCCGGCGGACTTCATCGTGCGCGAGGGCACCATCGGCAAGAAGATGTACTTCATCCAGCACGGCGTCGTCAGCATCATCACCAAGGGCAACAAGGAGACGAAGCTCTCCGACGGCTCCTACTTCGGAGGTCGGTCGACGCGAGGGCGAGGGAGGGAGGGGTTCAGGAGGAGGGAGGGGGCGGGGAAGAGGTCAGGAGGTCAGGAGGGAGGGAGGGAGGGGGAGAGGGAGGGGTTCAGGAGGAGGAGGAGGTCAGGAGGGAGGGAGGGAGGAGACGGAGGGAGGGAGGCAGGGAGGGAGGGAGGAAAGGGAGGGAGTTTCAGGAGGAGGACGTGAGGAGGAGGAGCCTCAAGAGGAATAAATAAATAAATAAGCGGACGATCGGGCGCCTTCTTCTGCACACCCCCTTCACGTGATCTGTCGCAACACAAACTTGTTTTTTTTACACATGCCATCAGCCTTCTGGTCGTGGCATGAGTGAGGCCGCGTTCGGTTCAACGCGAGACAAATCTCTGGAGCGGCTTTGACACCCGGTGCCTCATCAGCAGCAGAGTTGGCCCTTGCTTTTGAACCAGGAGCCGTTCCCGCGTTGATGATGTCGCTCGGCGTCTCTGTTGACGATGGCGAAGATGACAAAGATGACACCGATAATGATGATAATGATGATGCCGATGCTGATGATGCCGATGATGCTGCGCATGTAAGAGATCTGCGGCTGATGATGATGCCACTGATTATGATGATGATAACGGGTGAAACTGATGATGACGCTGCGCGTGTTGAGATTTGCCTGATGATGATAATGATTATGACACTGATGATGTATGCTGCTCATGATGATGCTGATGCTAATTATGATGCTGCTGATGATTCTGATGCTACTGCTGCTGATAATGCTGCTGCTGCTGATAATGCTGTTGATGATGATGATGATAATACTGATGGTGCTGCTGATGATGCTGTTTATGATGATGATGCTGCTGCTGACGATGCCGACGACGGCGACGCTGCGCATGCAGAGATCTGCCTGCTGACGCGCGGGCGCCGCACGGCGAGCGTGCGCGCCGACACCTACTGCCGCCTCTTCTCGCTCTCCGTGGACCACTTCAACGAGGTGCTCGAGGAGTACCCCATGATGCGGCGAGCCTTCGAGACCGTGGCCATCGACCGCCTCGACCGCATCGGTGAGATACCCTCGCCGGGGGCGGTGGGGGGGGGGGAGAGACGCGTGGGGAGAGACACGTGGGGAGACGTGGGGTAAGACGTGGGGCGATACGTGGGGAGATGTGGAGAGACGTGGGGTGAGACTTGGTGAAAGACGTGGGGAGACACGTGGGGAGAGACGCGGGGGTAAGACGTGGGGCGATACGTGGGGAGATGTGGAGAGATGTGGAGAGACGTGGGGTGAGACTTGGTGAAAGACGTGGGGAGACACGTGGGGAGAGACGCGGGGAGACGTGGGGTAAGACGTGGGGCGATACGTGGGGAGATGTGGAGAGACGTGGGGTGAGACTTGGGGATACGTGGAGAGACGTGGGGTGAGACCTGGTGAAAACATGGGGAGACACGTGGGGAGAGACGTGGGGAGATGTGGAGAGACGTGGGGAGATGTGGAGAGACGTGGGGTGAGACTTGGGGATACGTGGAGAGACGTGGGGTGAGACCTGGTGAAAGACGCGGGGAGACGCGGGGGGAGTACGTGGGGAGACGTGGGGACATGAGGACAATCGCACTCATTCAAACACCCCACACACAAAGAGTTCCCTTATAGACTTAACAGACTGTTCGGGCAAGTGCTGCTAGCGAGCACCTATGATAGCCAGCACGGTACACGAGGTGGTGGGTAGCCAGCAACGCGCCCGGTCGCCTTTGTCTCCCCAGTGGCGATGTTTACACGATGCTCCAGATACTAATTTGAGGCTGAGTCGACCTAGAGGAGGATGCACAGAACTGATTCAGATAATCGGAACTGATGTTGGCTGTGAGCGTGAATCGAACTCTGGTCACCGGGTTCGTAGCCAGCGCGTTAACTACAAAACACACACGCACGGACAAAGATCCACCGTGTAGCCTTAACAGACTGTTGGGGCAAGTGCTGTTAGCGAGTCGCACCTATGAAGGCCGGCATGGCACATCAGGGGGTGGGTGGCCAACACCACATACACACAGACACATCAACAACCGCCATTCGCCACTAAGTGGCGGTGACATAACCACGGCGCTTGTGCTAGGCTAGGTGCACGTTCAGGCGACGTGAAGTGTCGAACGCCCGCTGTCGAGAGGTCACAGGACAGATCCAGGTGCCATGGGTTGACAGAGATGACTGGCCGATGCACCACCTGTGCCCAATTGCTGTGTTTTATCCGCCCGGCGCTCCGCTCGTTGTTGTGAGCGTCCTTCACGAGCCTCCTCAGACAAACACATAAAGACAAAGATCCCCCGTTTAGCCTCTAACAGACTGTTGGGGCAAGTGCTGTGAGCGAGCACCTATGAAGGCCGGCACGGCACACGAGGGGGTGGGTGGCCAACACCACGCCCGACCGCCTTTGTCTCCCCAGTGGTGATGTTTACACACTGCACCAGGTACTCATTTGAGGCTGAGTCGACCTAAAAGAGGCCCGGAACCGGTTCAGATAATCGTCACTGATGTTGGCCGTGAGCGGGAATCGAACCCGGGAGCCAGGTTCATAGCGCAGCACGCTAACCGCTACACTAACGCTCCCCACATACGTATACACACACATACACCTCGCCATATACTTACATGAATACGTGACAAAGCTCTATCCTATGGTCAGTGTTAAACTTGACCTAGATATCCCGATTATAACAGACTAAGTAAGCATAAACACAAATACAGAAAACAAAAAAACACAGACACGCACACAGACACACAGACACACGCACACACATAGACACACTCACACACACAGACATAACAACAACCGCCATTCGCCACTAAGTGGCGGTGACGTCACCACGACGCTTGTGCCAGGCCATGTGCACCTTCAGGCCACGTGAAGTGTCGAACGCCCGCTGGCAGGAGGTCACGGGGCAGACCCAGGTGCCATGGGTCGACTGACTGAGATGACCGAGATGACCGGCTGGTGCACCACCTGTGCCCCCTACTGTGCCAACCTGCTGTGCTTTAGCCACCCAGCGCTCCGCTCGTTGTTGTGAGCGTCACTCCTCCGCCCTCCGTTGTTGTTGGAGGGCGACTACCTCCAACTGCCCAGTAGCGTCCTTCACGAGCCTCCTCCACAGAGGCCGATCTTGACACCGCTGGTACCAGTCATCGGCAAGTCCACGTTCTCCTCTACCACATCACTCCATCTCTTCTCTAGCCCGTAACGCGCCCGTTTAGCCCCCTCGATCCGGCCGAACAAAAGCTGTTTCGGCATGCGGTGGCTGGGAATGTGGGCTACATGACCCAGCCATGCTGGAGGAGCTCACCGATGGGACCTTGCCCAGATCTTTCAAGGATTTTTGAGCTCCTCACACAATCCAGCCTGGTTAAACCCAGGATGGATCGTAGGCAGGCCAGCCTAAATGTTTCCAACCGGCGAAGATGCTCCATTAAGGGGGTCCACGTTTCGCAAGCATAGAGAAGGGAGGGAATGACCGTGGCCGAGAAGACCTGAAGCTTAGTGTGGAGCGACAGACCAGGTAGCCTCCACACAGCGTTACGCAACCGATGAAAAGATATTGCCGCTCGACTGATTCGGAGTGAGACCTCTGCTGTTAAACTGGAGCCGGTCATAAGCACACTGCCCAGGTATGGGAAACTCTCCACTCTCTCCACAACTGCCCCATCACCGATTGGGAGTTGTGGGGGTGGAGTGTCCGATGGTACAAAATACCCAGGCAGGTGCTTAGTTTTGGTGGGGCTGATGGTAAGGCCCCATCTCTTAGTGGCACGCTCCAGTCTCAGCAGCAGCGTCTCCAACTCCTCCTCTGAATGAGCAGCTATTACCAAATCATCAGCATACATAAGGTGGTTGAGCAATAGGGAGCCATCCCTTGACCGCACCCGGGCATCGATCAGCCTCCCATTATATCGGTACCAAATGGAGATTCCCCCGGTACAGCTATTGAAGGCTTCACGAACTACGTGGTCAAAATAGATGTTAAATAATGTGGGAGCCAGAGGACATCCCTGTCGCACCCCAAGGTGTACAGGGAATGGCTCTAACTCCCGGCCACGTAGTTTTACCCGGGCCCGCTCACCATCATGAAGGTCCTTAATGATCGTGAGCAGAGGGTCAGAGACTCCAAAAGCACGAAGAACAACCCAGAGCCTAGGCCTACTGATGGTATCATAGGCCTTGACCAGGTCAATAAAGCAGAGATGTAGGTTTTGTTAGAATTCCCTACACCTCTGCTGTAGCAGACGGACAGAAAATATGGCATCTGTGCAGGACCGCCCTTTCCTGAAACAGACAACAACAACCGCCATTCGCCACTAAGTGGCGGTGACATCACCACGACGCTTGTGCCAGACCATGTGCACCTTGAGGCCACGTGAAGTGTCGAACGCCCGCGGGCAGGAGGTCACAGGGCAGACCCAAGTACCACGGGTCGACTGACTGAGATGACTGAGATGACTGGCTGGTGCACCACCTGTGCCCCCTACAGTGCCAGCCTGCTGTGCTTTAGCCACCCGGCGCTCCGCTCGTTGTTGTGAGCGTCGCTCCTCCGCCCTCCGTTGTTGTTGGAGGGCGACTGCCTCCAACTGCCCAGTAGCGTCCTTCACGATCCTCCTCCACAGAGGCCAATCTTGACACCGCTGGTACCAATCATCGGCAAGTCCACTCAGCTCCACGTCCTCCTGAACCACGTCACTCCATCTTTTCTCTAGCCCGTGCCGCGCCCGTTTAGCCCCTTCGATCCGGCCGAACAAAAACTGTTTCGGCATGCGGTGGCTGGGCATGCGGGCTACATGACCCAGCCATCGCAGCCTTGCTTGCCGGAGGAGCTCACTGATGGGACCTTTCCCAGATCTTTGAAACAGACACATAGACAGACACACGCACACACATAGACACACAATCACACATAGACACACTCACACACACAGACACACTCACACACAGACAAACACACAGGCGCGCTCGCCAGCTTGTCTCCGGGCGCTATGAATGTTTTATTTCACGGAGGCATCGGCGTCGTTCATTATTGCTATGAATGTTTTATTGAGAACCTTCAAGCGGAGAAGCAAATGCCCTTCGTCGCCCGCCCGCCCTACCGCTCCTCCCATCAGTTCTCGTCACCGCCGCCTCCGCCGCGATTGAGAAAGTCAGCGGCCGATACGAAATTTACGGCCCCTTTACCAACAGCAACATCCAAACAAGCAAGCCAACACTCACAACGCATTCGTCAAGAAGAAGAACAAAACAAAAAACGCGTGTGTGGTGTAAAAAAAAAGGAAATATTGAATCGGCGACGTTTCGGGCAATGGACCTTCTCGACAGCACCCAGAGAGAAAGAGAGAGAGGTTGTTGGCTTAGAGAGGCCACGTGGCGATGTCCATTCCATTCCGCCCCGGTGCACCCGTTTCTACTCTTTGGTTCTTGCGGTAAAGTCACGTAGGTATCAAATAAAATCAATTAAATCACGACGTTTCGGGCGCAACACAAGCCAAAGAGAACGTGGATCCCAGCAGTTACGAAAACTTCAAATCTAGATTGGACCCGTCTCGTCGTCTCTGCCTCGCGTTTGTTTCATTTTTAGTTACATTTTTTTCGTAACATTTTTTTGTAAAATTTTCTTTGGGTCTTTCGGTAAAGTCACATAGATAGGTTCAAAGAAAACAATAAGAATAATAAAAACTAAGACGTTTCGATTGTCATCAGAACGCGTGTGTTCGTGTGTTTTAAATACTATTTTTTTATTAAAAAAAAATTAGTAACGTGTATTTTAGTAACATGTCTTTTAGTAATGTTTTTGAGCAACACGTGTTCTAGTAATACGTCTTTTAGTAGCAGGTTTTTTTTAGTAACAGGTCTTTTAGTAACACCGTTTAAATCATAATTACATATATAGAGCGGCTCTTCATCGTGATTATTTTTTTATAATTTTAAGAATTAACAATCTATTTTATTTTTTTATTTAAACAGTAAATTTTACTAATTTATTATCAAAACTCTCTTGTAATTTTAATAATTAGGACTCACACATTCTACCT